CTTCCTTATTCTAAAAATATTGAAATGTTTCATTCCTAATCTGGCATAATTTTCTTCTCTTCTAAAAATGCAATCTATAGCATCTAAGAAGCTTGTTAACATTTCCTATTCTACAATCAATCATCAGCCTAAAATAACCTTCGCTTTCACTGTATGCATTGCTTTCTCCACTGCTGTATTCTCTTCCTTGATCATCGTCTTATTTCAGGCAATAAACAAGGTATTTTAAAAGTATCAGCTATTTCGATAACTTGCAAAACAAATACTTTGGACTGACTATCCAGCAATTAGCTTAGGTGATGCAGTATTATTTAACATAATCAGAAACATTAAATTGAGCGAGAGGCAGAAACTAAATTAAGGTGATGCAGAATGACTATCTTTCTCCACAGCAACTCCACTTTGGAAAGCAGAACAACATTCTCTATATAATCCCATGTGTGGTTTCCAAGAACCATTTTGGGAATTTTTTTTTTTTTTTTTTTCAAAATTTCTTTCTCCATTACCTTCTTTCCTTCCTCCTGAGCACAAAGTAATGCTAATACTCTTACAGATAACAGTAGAGCCTCCTACTCTATGATTACCATTTATATCATTCACCAAAAGTTCCTTAAATCTAAAAGGCAAGGAGCCTGTTCATTTTTGTGTTTGCTCTTTGCTTTATTTAACATTCAGGTTTCACCTATTTGTCTTCAAATCAGCAAGTTATGTACACTGTATTGTTGGCACTTCACAGCACAGGACATTTTCCATGAGGCAGGGTCATGGCTTAACTCATTACTTATTGTAGAGGATAAGACCTATGAACTAGCGGGTCCATTGATACATACTCCACCTTAACCTAGAAGTCTCAGATGACCGGAAGGCAGACGCAGTATACGGCGACATGCACAGTGCTTAGGGGAGAAGCACTTTACAACTGCTATACTGTCATTCAGGAGAGCTTTCATATCAAAAGTACTAATACACTCAGAACCAATGTACTTCATTTTCCTGAAGTTCCAACGGTCTTTGTTTTGCTGCTATGCCTGAATTGTGCTTCCTTTTCCTCTCCTAGAAAGTCGCAACATCTGTTTACTGAAGGTGAATAGTATGCCAATGACATGTAACACTGTTTTTACATCCTGAATCATCCACACCAAAATCCTGAAGCTGCAGATGCAGAGAAGTCCCAATACCCCAGCAAAATGCTCTCTAGCTCTCTTTTCTTGATCCCAACTCTGTCTGAGCCCTTTCTACCATCTTTCACAAAAATAAAGTAGGTCATCAAATCCATTGAAATATTATTTTGACACCACTTAGCAGGAATTAGTGCCAAAATAAAAAAAAAAGAGTGAGGGAAAAAGAAAGAACAAGGAACTGCACGTTGGGTTTTTTTTAATGGGAGGCAAGTCCCAGGAGTCCACATTTATCCTCTCAGGTAGTCAGCTATTTTGGTCTCCTCCTCTCCCTAAAACCAGAGAGGAGTGTGAAAACCAGCAGAGAACGCTCAGGCTGATGACAGTGTTAAAGGAGTGGAGGTTAAATTTTAGCCCCAAAAGGTAAAGTGAACAGAAGGGGGCAGGCTGGCAAAGAGGAGATAAAAATAGAAGAGTGACTAGACTTCACTTGACTGCTATTTCTAGATCAACTATGGAAAGAGATCTGAGAAGGTTTTCTATTTGCAAGGGAGAGAGAGACTAAAATATAGTTGCCTTCTAGAAGGCCACAGTCCTGCACAGCAGTTTTGTTTATGCTTCTACTTTTCTAAATCACTGCATTCTCACTATTTGGAAACAGTGCTGTTGAGCCAAAATGTCATTATGCATCTGAGTAACCAGATTAGATTTTCTGGAGCAGGACAGCAATGTGTGTGGCATTTCAATCTAACAGAAACAAAGCTGACAGCACATTGTAAAAGTGTGTGCAAATCACAATGCCAAGCAGAGTAAACTAAGCCACATAATACTTTAGGAAAATAACCAAAGCCATGCAGTATCTCTGAGAGGATGTCTTGTGTTTTCCCACTCTAAAATGATTAGTGAAATACTAACTAGTTCCAATTATGGACACAGAATAAAGATGACAACAGGGACCTCCCAATTACAGTATGTAGTGCTTGACTGACACATGGCTCTGGGGATGAATGTTTCTGTCTGTTCGAGCCCTTTCCTCTTGAGTACCTCAGTTAAAATTCCTTCCGTTGAGTAATTTCTGCCCAGATCCTGGCTGTGCTGGCTTTGTTCCCATATAAAAGAAAACCTGCAGGCAGAAAGCAGTGCCATCTGCCAAGTCAGAAGCTGCTTTAATGGGCAAGTTTGGTGTGAAGGAGAACAGACTATTACGCTTTATCTTCAGCAGCAGGAGTGATGTTTTTCCCTTCCCCGGAGTAGGTTACAGTGAGCATACTCACGCCTGAAGTATTCGTCCACAAATATACGTAGATCTCAATGGATACTGCACAAGCAACCTCCAGAAAAAAAAAAAATCCGTCCAGCATCCCTTTTTTCCCGTTCAACTTGCAATTCAGTCTTCAAATTTCTCTTTACCTGGCAGACCAGTTGTTTTTTTCTGTGACAGCTTCATCAGCCTCCACATTCTATTCCTGTAAGTGAATGATAACCCCGCCATCACACCTAGGAAGGATGAACAGTAGCAAGGCAGAAACGCCAAGGCCCTATTGTCCCTACATAGAGAATTCTGCACTAAAGCTGTTTCTGAACATTTTTTCCAAGTTTCTTGTCCCTTTTCCATAACTGTTTTGACTGGATGGTTTGCTCTGAAGTTTCATCTGGAGCAGGTTTGGGACTTGCGTAGCCCAGGTTTTATGAGAAACAACGGAAAAACTTCTGAATATTTTCATCCTTGCAAATATCTTCAGGGCTAGGGGAAGATCTTTCTATTCTTGCCAATTAACCAACCACAGTTTTTATCATTCCTTGTTGGGTAATCTTCTCATTAGACCATCTTTGGAGAGAATAGCAGATTCTCTCTGGACTGCTGGCAGTTTTACTTAATTGCGTATTTAACTTTTTATTCAGCACTTAAACTCATAACGATGAGAAATACATACACGCAAGCAGCAAACTATTATCTGCCATTTAAACTCCCTAGAGAACTCGTAAACATCTTAATATTTCTGTCCCTTTCAGAAGAAAAGTGCACACATTCCAAAGCTGGGGCAGGGGGGGAGGATGACACACACATATATAACGTAATTTCAGCGAGATATTAGCCATTACTGACAAAACTCCAGTTTGGGAAGCGTGGGGGGGGTGGTGGTGGTGGTGTGCTTTGGTCCTTATTATATTTTAAAAGTTCTGAAAAAATCAGCCAACTCAATTAGTGCTAAACAGAAACTGGTATTAGAGGATCTACTATAGGTTCCTCCTCCCCATCAGGCAGAGGACATTCTGTCAGGGTACAGCAACTTTATCACTCCTCTCCCCTTCCCCAACTCTGAGCACTGAATTAAAAAAATACTTTACAGATGCTAGTATCCATAGGAATGTATTTCCTATTTGATTCCAGAGCTACAGAATTTGCTCTGGAGCACACCTGTTGCCACTGGATTGTGCTCTGGAATGGCAACTTCAATTTTAAAATGCTTCCAGCCCTTATCACTGCACAACCTTTGAAGTATGAATGGTATACAACCAGCAAAGCCGCTCAACTCTTCAGAAACAGCAGAACAGCTTCAGTATTAACTATTATCCTTCATCACAGTATGCTAAGTATAGAAATTAATGTTGATAGCACTTCAGAAGGATCATCTCAGAGTTGTAAAAACCTGACACTCCCCTGTGCAGGCACAAACCCCCAGTACTTCCAGTCTGTTTGCCAAAACCTCCAGTTTCCCCATGATAAACTTCTGTGAGTCAGCTACATGAAGCTAATACAAAAAACAGCATGATAAAGAAAATGAGTGTGTTGGAAACATGTGAATTCATCAGCATGTTATTGTATTATAAGCTTTTCTAGTTCCTCTATCAAAAATCTCTTCAATACACAAAGCTACCGGATATTTCTAGTCTATCAAAGTGCAAAGGCTTTGCTGGGGATAGCAGTTCTAGCTTAGTAAGACCATATCCAGACCTTGGCAGACCTTCCAGCTGACCACTAGCAGATTTGTCCTTCTGTCAGCAAACATGGAGTGTGAGGTTTAAGAAAAGGAAGGGTACCTGAAAGCCTTTTAGACATCCCAACTAATCAGATTAACACCAGCAAGGACTTGGCAATGTTCTTAAGTAATTCTCATGACAATTACTTTGGCTGGTTTTCAGTCTTACCATAGAGAACTATTCTGGTTCTCATTTGAGCTGCTTTTTTCTAACGATGTGGTTTAAAAGCATCAGGGAAATCTTCAAGTTCAAAAGCTGCAGAGCAAAAGGCAGGTAAGCTTTACGGTCTCTAATGAATGGTTATTGCTCCATTTATTTAAGTGGTACTTATCACCACAAATATCTACTAAACTTACTTGCCAATACTGGTGTAGTCAGTGCTTTCCCAGCTAATACCCTTCTGTAAATGAATCACAAAAATAAAGAGAGTAAGTGAGTAAACAACTAGAAATGCCCCTTAAGAAAAGTCTTCAAAGGGAGGAAAGCCTGAAGACCAATGAACATTTAAATACTTCCCAGTTTAGGCCTATTTCATTGCACAAGATCCAAAATAGTTTCCTTCCCAAGTATTGCATAATATGTTCATTCAAAATCTAGCAAGCTTTCTCACAGAACACACCAAGACACTGTTCTCTCCCCCGCTTTTTTGTCTTTTAAATACGAACATGAGCATTTCACAGCTAATAACATTCTTCTGGAAACTCACACAGAATATTCTGGAAAAGACTCAAGTTTGGACTACAGTGTTATAAGTAATAGCAAACGTCTCCACATACTCAAATTCTTCACGCAGCACTCTGTGAAATGTAAGCAACAGAACAAGTAGCTTTTACAGAGCTTTGGAAGTGAACTCTGGCCTCCAAACCATAAATAAGGGAAAAAAAGAAAAAGCCTACATACCTTCAGAGCACATTTCTGGCCTGTCTCCTTGTTGAAACACTCCAGTACTTTGCCATTGATTCCTAACCCTAGCACCCGTTTGGATAGTTTGTAGTCATCTGTAACTGCATGTTTTTTTATCTCTAGTTTGACATGGGCCGCTCCCCCAGGCAAGGATTTCACACTGCTCTTGCTATCCACGTGACTCTCTGGCTGGGATTCCTGTTCACCTTCACTTTGTTCCATAGCAGGGAAGAGTCTGAGATGACAAAGATACCCAACAGATTCCCTGTGGGGTATCCTCAGTGAAGTCCCTCCTCTTAGGCGATCAAACCCAGTGCTTCAAACAGTCCATCTGCTTGCCATTTAGTCCTGAGTAAAAATGTAAACGAGTATTAGCAATTGATGTGAACGAACCGCTGTCTCACCTA